GCTAAGATCACGCCACACTACTCCAGCCTGGCAACAGAGACTCCATCAAAGAGAGAGAGAGAGAGGGAGAGAGGGAGAGAGGGAGAGAGGGAGAGAGGGAGGGAGAGAAAGGGAGGGAGGAAGGGAAGAAGGGAGGGAGGGAAGGAAGGAAGGAAGAAAGGAAGGAAGGAAGGAAGGAAGTTAGTTTATATCTTTGTGACTGGGATTTTTAAAAAATTTCTTTTAAAATCAAAAACCCCAATGGGATACATGTAGACTATGATTTCTTGATGCCATTTCTGTTCCATTTTCGGGACTGTTTGTATGTGGTTATATGTGGACCTGGACATGTCTGCACCGTAACCTGTGGCTCCCAAAGTGCCTGGAACTGGAAGAGGATCTTATTCTCTAGAGGATGTTTGGAATTTCTTTTTCTGGTTTATCCCTGTTTATTTAACCAGCCTCCCTTTGATGAGTGTTATGGTCTGAATGTTTCCCTTTCCCCTAAATGCATATGTTGGAATTCTAACCCCCAATGTGATATTTTTATAAAGTGGGGCATTTAGGAGGTGATTGGGTCATGAAGACAGAATCCTCATGAATTCCCTTATAAAAGAGGCATGAGGGGCTGGGTGCGGTGGCTCACACCTGTAATCCCAACACTTTGGAAGATGAAGTGGGCAGATCGCTTGAGCCCAGGAATTTGAGACCAGCCTGGGCTAAGTGGTAAAACCCCGTCTCTACAAAAAAAAATACAAAAATTAGTCAGGTGTGGTTGTGCATGCCCTATAGTCCCAGCTATGTGGGAGACTGAGAGGTGGGAGGATTGCTTGAGCTTGGAAGGTTGAGGCTGCAACAAGCTGAGATCATGCCACTGCACTCCATCCTGGGCAACTTGAGACCCCATCTCAAGGAAAAAAAAAATGAATGAGGGGCCAGGCATGGTGGCATAACTTGTAATCCTAGCACTTTGGGAGGATAGCTTGAGGCCAAGTATTTGAGCCTAGCCTGGACACCATGGTGAGACCCCCAATTGTACAAAATATTAAAAAATTAGCCAGATATGGTGACACATAGTCCCATATACTTGGGAGGCTAAGGTAAGAGGATTGCTTGAGCCCAGGAGTTTGAGGCTGCAGTGAGCTGTGATTGTACCACTGTACTCTAACCTGGGTAACAGAGCAAAACCCTGCCTTAAGAAAAAAAAAAAAAAAAAAAAAAAGGCATGAGGAATGGGCCTCACCAGATACTGAATCTACTAGTGCCTTGATCTTGGACTTTGCAGCTGCCAGAACTATGAGCAATACATTTCCATTGTTTGTAAATTACATAGCATAAGGTATTTTGTTATAGCAGCAGGAAGAGACTGAGACAGATGGTCAAGTTTGTTTCCAGTCTCTTGCTCCCACAGTGCAGAGTGTCTTGTACTTTGTGTGTAGGCCCAGAGATCATAGGCTAAGTAATGAATAGTGTAACCAGATAGCTTGATGTGTGGAAACTTCCGCTAAAACAAAACAGAACAAAAAATTTGTATAAACAGTCAACCTGACAGTTTGTGATTCCCTTAAATTCATTTTTCATCTTTCATTAGAACTATACAACTATGAAAATCAGTATAGGATTGGGAGAGAATTACTGGCTTACAGAGGAGTCAGTCTTAACCATCCAGGAAGGTTTCTGCAAATCCAGTGATGTGCTTTCTGTCAAATGAATCTTCCCTCCCTCCTCCCGTCCTTCCCCTTTTTCTCCCATCCCTTTCCTCTTCCCCTCCTCCTTTGCTTCCTCCATTTATTCAAAGGCTGTTCAGTGAGTGTCCACTGATGGCCAGCATGGGAGATTTGCACTCAGGAACAGGAGTGGGGAGAGAGGTTGGACTTCTTGAGGCTTCTGTGTGTGTCTCTGGCTTTTGGACAACTTAGAAAGGGGCCAACAAGAATGAGTTACTAGAAGTGAAACCTCTTAGCAGAGCCACACTCCAACGTGAGCGCGGGTTTACTGGAATGAGGATGCTATTTTTAAGAAAGAGCATTGTGTTTCATCATGGAAATTTTGAGCCTCTGAGCAGGCAGCCTGCTGGCTCATTCATCTTTAAGGTCCAGAGGCACAGAGACTGTGTTTGCTCAGCTCTGTACCTCAGCACCCCGTAGCACCTGCCCTGTGGGAGGAAGGGAAGAAGGAAGGTCTGCGGTGGACAAGTAATATGTGAGTTGCTGCCACATCTGGTTGGTTTCACCTCAGCTGGTGTCATCCAGGGGCCTGGCAGGGCTGGGGCCTTGCCCCAGCCTGTGAGTGTAGTGGCAGTGAGGTGAGCAGTCCAGCAAGGGACGTTTTTGTAGCTGTTTTTCAGGAGCTCGTACTTTTAAAAATGCCCTGTTTAATAAAGCTACCCTTTTTGGGGTCCTCAGAGTAGCTTTGTTTTGTCAAAGCAGCCCAGATTCCGAGATGTTCCTTTTCATCCTGGGAGGATGACCTGGGAGTGGGGTGCTGATGTTGGCACCAGTGAGTTGCCCTCTTGGGAATACCAGGTTGGGGGTGCCCTTAGGGTAGTTCTGCCGACAGCTGGTGTGCTGGCTTCTCTCCAGGTTATATGGAGCTCTGAGACATCATCTTTGTGGCTTGCTCCTCTAATGTGTTGCTGAAAAGGAAAGCCAGGGGAGGAGAGGAGATTCCCCCGCCCCCTCTTTTCCTTTATATAGCAATCTTGGTATAACCAGCAGCTGTGACAGCATGGGGTGGGGAAGAGGCGCTAGGCTTTGGAATAAGGTTGACACAGCTCAAGGCCGGAACCAGCTGTTTCTTACGTCTCTGAAAACTTGGGTGCTTTAGCTCTTCCAAGTTTCTCTCTCCCTTTTTTTGTGTGTTTTTGAGATAGAGTCTCCCTCTGTCACCCAGGCTGGAGTGCAGTGGCACGATCTTGGCTCACTGCAACTTCCGCCTCCCAGGTTCAAGCAACTTTCCTGCCTCAGCCTCCTGAGTAACTGGGGTTACAGGTATATGCCGCCACACCCAGCTAATTTTTTTTTTGTATATTTAGTAGAGATGGGGTTTCACCATGTTGGTCAGGCTGGTCTCAAACTCCTGACCTTGTGATCTGTCCTCTGTGGTCTCCCAAAGTGCTGGAATTACAGGTGTGAACCACCCTGCTGGCCCTCACATTTTTTTTTTAATTTTTATTTTTTGAGATGGAGTCTCCCTCTGTCACTCAGGCTGGAGGGCAGTGGCATGGTCTTGGCCCACTGCAACCTCCGCTTCCTGGGGTCAAGCAATTCTCCTGCCTCAGCCTCCTGAGTAGCTGGGATTATAGGTATGTGTCATCACACCTGGCTAATTTTTATATTTTTGGTGGAAACAAAGTTTTGCCATGTTGGTAAGGCTGCTCTTAAACTCTTGACCTCAGGTGATCCGCCTGCCTTGGACTCCCAGAGTGCTGGGATTATAGGCATGAGCCACAGTGCCCGGTCCAAGTTTCTCTCTCATCTGTGAAACGTAGGTGTAATAATAGTACTTATTGTGATATATTTATTTTCTTAAATCCTTTTATTTTAAAATAAAGCCTATCTTAAAAAAATTAATTTTTAACAGAGATGAGAGTCTCTCTTTGTTGCACAGGCTGGTGTCAACCTCCTGGCCCCAAATGATCCTCCTGCCTCAGCCTCCCAAAGTGTTGGGATTACCACCATGACTGGCGGAATCCTACTTCTTGGAACACGGTCTTATGCCACATAATGACGTATCAGCCAACCATGGACCACATATGTCACAGTGGCCCCATTAGATTATAATACTGTATTTTTCCTGTGTTTAGAGATAAGGACTTACCATTATGCTGTGACTGCCTGCCTTATTCAGCACAGTCTCATGCTGTATAGGTGTGCAGCTGAGGAGTAATAGGCTGTACCATCAAGCCTAGTGTGTAGTAAGTGATCGCATCAGGTTGTGTAAGTCACTCTAGAATGTTCTACAGTGCTGAAATGGCCTACTGCATTTCTTAAAATGTAACCCTGGCTGGGCATGGTGGCTTATGCCTATAATCCCAGCACTTTGGGAGGTCAAGGTGGGCACATCATCTGAGATCGGGAGTTCAAGACCAGCCTGACCAGCATGGAGAAACCCCGTCTCTACTAAAAATACACACAAAAATTAGCCAGATGTGGTGGCGGGTGCCTGTAATCCCAGCTACTTGGGAGGGTGAGGCAGGAGAATGGTTCGAAACTGGGAGGTGGAGGTTGTGGTGAGCCAACGTCATGCTGTTGCACTTCAGCCTGGGCAACAAGAGCGAAACTCCATCTCAAAAAACAAACAAACAAAAAACTGAATCCCTTTCGCTTAACAATGCATGGGTGTAAATCATTTGGGACTGGGGACAAAGCATCCTTTAAAAAAAATTTTTTTTTCCTCTGCTTTTATCTTAGGTTTAGGTGGTACATGTCCAGGTTGGTTAAGTAAGTAAATTGGGTTTCACTGGGGCTTAGTGTATGAATGATCCTGTCATTCAGGTAGTGAGCACAGTGCCCAATAACTAGCCTTCCAATCCATGCCCTCCTCAAACGTCCCTCTTCATGCGGTCCCCGGTGTCTGTTGTTCCCATCCTTGTGTCTATGTGCTCTCAATGTTCAGCTCCCACTTATAAGTGAGAACATGCAGTATTTGGTTTTCTGTTCCTACATCAGTTCATTTAAGATAATGGCCTCCAGCTGTCTCCATGTTGCTGCAAAGGACATGATTTCATTCTTTTTTTATGGCTGCATCATATTCTGTGGTGTGTATGAACCACATTTTCTTTATCCAGTCCACTGTTGATGGGCATCTTGGTGACAAAGCATCTTTTGTTTGGACCACAGCTTCTTGGGAGCTTCTGCTCTGTTTTCCTGTTTCACTGAAAGATGAAGCCCCAGGTATGGCTGTGGTCCTGAGCCAGAGAAGATGCTTTGGAGAAAAGCATTCTAAGAAGAGTGGGCAGACATGAGCACAGCCTCGATGCGTGGGTGTGGCCTTGATGTGTGGGTCTGTCTTTCCCACAGGTGCTGCGAGTGGCTGAGATGCTGCGGGGGAGGGGAGCCCAGGCCCCGCACTGTCTGGTTGGGGCATCCAGAGAAGAGGGACCAGAGGTATCCTCGAAATGTCATCAACAACCAGAAGTACAATTTCTTCACCTTTCTTCCTGGGGTACGTGCAGGCAGGGACCGCATTCTTTTCTTTTCTCCATGGCAAATACATGTGTTGGTACAGTCCTTTTTTTTTTCGATGGAGTCTCACTCCAGGCTGGAGTGCAGTGGCGTGATCTCGGCTCACTGTAACCTGCGCCTCCTGAGTAGTGGGATTATAGGCACCTGCCACCACATCCGGCTGCTTTTTTTTTAAAGACAGAGTTTTACTCTTGTTGTCCAGGCTGGAGTACAATGGCATGATTTCGGCTAACTGAAACTTCCACCTCTTGGGTTCAGGCAGTTCTGCTGCCTCAGCCACCCTGCCCCAAGTAGGTATGATTACAGGAATCTGCCACCATGCCCAGCTAATTTTGTATTTTTAGTAGAGATGTGGTTTCTCCATGTTGGTCAGGCTGGTCCTGAACCCCTCACCTCAGGTGATACACCTGCCTTGGCCTCCCAAAGTGCTGGGATTACAGGCTCAAGCCCCACTGCACCTGGCCTAATTTTTGTATTTTTAGTAGAGATGAGTTTCCACTATGTTGGCCAGGCAGGTCTTGAACTCCTGACATCAGGTAATCCACCCACCTTGGCCTCCCAAAGTTGGGGGATTATAGGCATGAACGTCTCCACCAGCTGGTACAGTCTTAAAAGATGAGTTCCCTGTGGCAGATGTTGGTGACTCTTCTGTGCCACCTTAGCCCCTGGTTGTTCATCTTCCCTGGGCTCAGCACTGGGTGGTGGTGGCATTGGGGGAGTGGGGTGGGATGGGATGGAAGGGGTACTGTCTGCAAGGCTGTGTGACCCCACCTGCTCAGTTAGAATAACTTCACATGTATTTGCTATGCTGAACCTAAGAGTGAAAAAGAGATGCTGGGAACCTAGCATTATGACCAAAACCACAGAAAAGAATGTCAGCAGTGCCTAAATTTCCCCCCATCATGACATATTAGTCAGTATGGGCAAGTTGGGAGATAAAAGCTTAGAGGGGAAAAAATAAAGATATATTTTAATCCTACCCATCTCTAGAGAGAATTTTTATTAATATGTTTGCTAATAATAAATGTTTCTGGTGGCTTAATGCTTCCATATTAACTTACACAAATCCATGGACATGTACTCAGCAAACCTCTCCCAACATGCACATGAATTCAGTATCTATTTTTAGCTTCCAAACACACACCAGTTGACTTTGAGAAGCGGCAGTAGCAATTAGCTCCAGTGCAGAAAGGAACATAATGGCAGTGTTAGATATTGAGTGACAGTACAGAGGCAGAAAGCTGCTATAGTGTAGTTCAAGGTCAATTTGAATTTTTTTTTTTTTTTAAAGACCAGATCTCACTCTCTTGCCCAGGCTGGAGTGCAGTGGCATGATCAGAGCTTATTGCAGCCTCAGCCTCTTGGGCTCAAGTGAAGTTCCTCTTCAGCTTCCCAGGCAGCAATTTGAGTAAGTTTATTCTCATTCGTGGAAAGTCAGATGCAGACTGGGCCACATTCCTCCATCTTCTTTCTAGCTATGCCACCTGGATTATGTGGCCACCAAAGTCACCATGGTGGCGCAAGAGGCACCGATGGCTCTTAACTGCCCTAGCCTCGAAGAGACACAGTACTTCTATTCATTACCTATCGACCCAGACTAGTCATGTGGCATCAGTCTCACTCCTGGGCGCACGCCAGTGGTCAGAACCATGCTAGCACCCAGCTGCTCCCCAGGGGAGGATTCAACTGTATTATTTTACAGAGTTAAGGTCATATTGTGGATATAACGTTAAAAAATTATTTTGTATTTTATTTTTTGAGATAGGGTTTCACTTTTTTTTTTTTTTTTGAGACGGAGTTTCGTTCTTGTTACCCAGGCTGGAGTGCAATGGCGTGATCTCGGCTCACCGCAACCTCCGCCTCTTGGGTTCAGGCAATTCTCCTGCCTCAGCCTCCTGAGTAGCTGGGACTACAGGCACACACCACCATGCCCAGCTAATTTTTGTATTTTTAGTAGAGACGGGGTTTCACCGTGTTGACTAGGATGGTCTTGATTTGTTGACCTCGTGATCCACCCGCCTCAGCCTCCCAAAGTTCTGGGATTATAGGCGTGAGCCACTGTGCCCAGCCATGGTTTCACTTTTTATTTTTTGAGATGGGGGACCCACTGTCATCCAGGCAGGAGCTCAGTTACATGATCTCAGCTTACTTCTGCCTCCACCTCCTGGACTCAATTGATCCTCCTGCTTCAGCCTCCTGAGTAGCTGGGACTACAGGTGCATGCCAGCACGCTTGACTAATTTTTATATTTTATGTAGCGATGGAGTTTTATCATGTTGCCAAGGCTGGTCTCGAGCTCCTGAACTCAAGCAACCTGCCCACTTCAGCCTCCCAAAGTGCTGGGATTACAGTCCTGTATCACTGTGACTGGCATGTTGCGGACATAACTTTTTATCTTTCTTTTTGGATTCAACCTTATAGCATAAGCATTTCCCACCAAAATCTCCGCTTGAACACTATCTTGAGTGGTCTATTGAACTTACAAAGTATATAGTCTAAGAAATAACACAGTCAGGATGCAGTGGCTCAGGTCTGTAATCCCAACACTTGGAGAGGCTGAGGTGGGAGGACTGCTTGAGCCCAGGAGTTGAAGACAAAGCTGGGCAACGTAGAAAGACCCTGTCTCTACAAATAACAAAAATTTTAGCTGGGCGTGGTGGTGCATGCTTGTGGTTTCAGCCTCTTGGGAGGCTGTGGCAGGAGGATTGCCTGAGCCCAGGAGTTCACGGCTGCAGTGAGCTGTCATCATGCCCCTGGACTCCAGCCTGGATGACAGAGTGAGACTCGGTCTCAAAAAACCAAACCAAACCAAGCCCCAAAACACACATAACATAGTTGATGCCCCTGTGTGCCCCTCCATGTTAGATTTTACTTCCACCCCAGGAAGTAACTACTCTTCTGAATTCGGTGTTTTCAGTTTTCATGGGTATCATTATTTACTCTTTCTTTAATAAATGATACTTTTATTACCCGTGTTTTTCTAAACAGCATATGGAAGGGTTTAAGCTTTATGTGAAAGGTATCGTGTACATTGTATTCTTGTGCAGGAACTTTTTTTTTAAGGCAGAGTTTCGCTCTTATTGCCCAGGCTGCAGTGCAATGTCGTGATCTTGGCTCACCGCAACCTCCACCTTTTGGGTTTAAGTGATTCTCCTGCCTCAACCTCCCAGGTAGCTGGGATTACAGGTGCCTGCCACCACGCCCGGCTAACTTTTTTACTTTTAGTACAGACAGGGATTCGCCATGTTGGTCAGGCTGGTCTTAAACTCCTGACCTGAGGTGATCTGCCCGTCTCAGCCTCCCAAAGTGCTGGGATTACAGGTGTGAGCCACCACGCCCAGCCGCAGGATGTTTTTTAAATATTATTCATTTCCCAGCTGGCTGTGGGGCTCATGCCTGTAATCCCAGCACTTTGGGAGGCTGAGGCATACAGATCACAAAGTCAGGAGTTAAAGACAAGACTGGCCAACATGGTGAAACCCCATCTCTACTAAAAAATACAAAAATAAACTGGGTGTGGTGGCTCGTGCCTGTAATTCCAGCCACTTGGGAGGCTGAGGTAGGAGAATTGCTTGAACCGGGATCCAGGAGGCGGAGGTTGTAGTGAGCCTTGATCACACCAGTGCGCACTCCAGCCTGGGATACAGAGCAAGACTCCATCTCAAAAAAAAACAAAAAAATCACTCATTTTCCTCCAGATGTTCCAGATCTCATCAGACAAGCCCTGAGTGTCTCTTCTCTGTTGTCTCTTTCCATTCCAGGTGCTGTTCAACCAGTTCAAATACTTTTTCAACCTCTATTTCTTACTTCTTGCCTGCTCTCAGTTTGTTCCTGAGATGAGACTTGGCGCACTCTACACCTACTGGGTTCCCCTGGTGAGTTAATCGGCATTGTTTGTTCAGTAACAGAGGTTTGGAAACAGAAAATTCTTTGTTTCTCTCACTCAGGCATCTGGAATGGGATGGTGGCCTTGTAAGGGAAAGGATGCCCTCAGGCCAACACACTGGGAGTCCCTGAGACTTTAATGTTGAAGCTCCATTTCATACACCACCTGGATCAAACTGTAGCAAAGCCTGTGCTGTTCATTCATACAGTCAGCTGTTGGGTCTTGCATGACCTCAGCAAGGATTTATTGCATGCTTATTGTATATGCGCTAGTCTAGACTCTGGGAACACAGTGGCAAATGAGAAAGACAAATCTCCTGTCCTCGTGGATTGTATCACAGGTTGAGCATCCCAGATCCAAAATTCCAAATTCTCTAAAATCTGGCCGGGCATGGTGGCTCATGCCTGTAGTCCCAGTATTTTGGGAAGCTGAGGCAGGTAGATTGCTTGAGGCCAGGAGTTCAAGACCAGCCTGGGCAACATGGTGAAACCCTACCTCTACTAAAAATTACCTGGGTGTGGTGGCATGCATCTGTAGTCCCAGCTACTTGGGAGACTGAGGAACCAGAATTGCTTGAACCTGGGAGGCCAGGGGTTGCAGTGAGTTGAGATTGTACCACTGCACTCCAGCCTGGGTGACTGAGCAAGATGTGTCTCAAAACAAAAACAAAAACAAACAAGAAATTCCAAACTAATAAAAATAGTGCTCCAGAATCTAAAACCTTTTGAGCACTGTTTTCCGATTTGAGATGCTCAGCTGGTAAGGATGGTACGGATGTTCCCCAGTCTGAAAACATCTGCAATCTCAAACACTTCAGCTCCCAAGCATTTTGGATCAGGGATGCCCAACTTGTATTTGAATTGTTTTCCAAGCTCACATTTTCTTTGTGTCTAATGTAGAGTATTTGAGTGTGAGGGGTTGGAAAAGTAGCAGAATCTGTGCTGCACAGCAGAACCGAGTAGCCCCCTCTGCTCCTTCTCCGGCCTCCTTTTCTTTCTTCCCTTGCTTTGGCAGAGGGTGGTTGAACACCTGCTGTGTGCCAGGCCCTGTGCTGAGTTCTGGGGGTACAGCCATGAACAGAGTAGACAAACATTTCTGCCCTGTGGGGCTGACATCCAGAGGGGATAGACAATAAGCCGGTAAATGAAATTGTTACAAATTGTGAAAAGTGCTCTGATGGTAACAGAATAAGGTCATAGGAAGGATGGGGTATCCAAGGTACGTTTAGTATTTTTTGCACAAATGAGGGTGAAGGGTAGGAGATGTGGAGAGGTAACCTTAGCCTGTGTTGCTATGAAAGGCCTCCTGAGGAATGATGGGAAGTAGAATGTTCCAGCGGACAGCAGTGCAAAGGCCCTGCAGCAGGCATGTTCTTCTTAGCGCATTTGAGAAACAGAAAGAGATCCAGTCACGTAGCTGTGGAGAGGACAGAACTGATACCCTTTTTCTCCAAATAGAGATATTATGAAATGCAGTTGCTTTTTATTTTTTATTATTATTATTCTTTTTGAGATGGAGTTTCACTCTTGTTACCCAGGCTGGAGTGCAATGGCGCGATCTCGGCTCACCACAACCTCCGCCTCCTAGATTCAGGCAATTCTCCTGCCTCAGCCTCCTGAGCAGCTGGGACCACAGGCACGCGCCACCATGCCCAGCTAATTTTTTGTATTTTTAGTAGAGACGGGGTTTCACCATGTTGACCAGGATGGTCTCGATCTCTTGACCTTGTGATCCACCCGCCTCGGCCTCCTAAAGTGCTGGGATTACAGGCTTGCAGTTGCTTTTTATATTCTCACCAGGTGGGACCCAGGGGGAACACTCAGATTTTCTGTTCATAAATCTTATTAATATTTTTATTTTTAATTAAAGAATTTGCTTTTAGGCTGGGCGCGGTGGCTCAGGCCTGTAATCCCAGCACTTTGGGAGGCTGAGGCAGGCAGATCACGAGGTCAGGAGATCGAGACCATCCTGGCCAACATGGTGAAACCCCATCTCTACTGAAAATACAAAAATTAGCCGGGCATGGTGGCGCATGCCTGTAGTCCCAGCTACTTGGGAGGCCAAAGCAGGAGAATTGGCTGAACCCAGGAGGTAGAGGTTGCGGTGAGCTGCTTTACTCCAGCCTGGCAACAGAGCAAAACTCCATCTCAAAATGGAAAAAAAAAAAAAAAAAAAGAAGCAGAAACAATAAACCTTTTTGCTGTTGGCAGCAAGCGAGGGATGATGAGGATTTGGTGCGGAGGTGCTTGTGGAACGGAGGAAGTCACATGCTCAGGGGCCTGGGAGTGGGCGTGCTTACGCTGTACGTGCCATGTTATTAGGCAAGTGATGCCAGCAGCTCTCGCCCTGTGAAGAGGAATGGGGTTATTTCTTCCACGCAAACAGTGCAGGTGCTTTTGGAATGACGAGAATAGTTCTCTCCTGCTCTGAGTCATTTTGGGGTGAACTAGGATCCTGGGAGCTAAAGGGGCCCTTCATCCAAGCATCCTGCCCCTCTGATAACAGACATTCCTGCCTGTGTCAGGTGGCATGCTGAACCAAGTGCCAGGTGGTGCCTGCACTTTTAAGCACTGATATTGTGATCATCGGGAAACAATTTTTTTTTTTTCTGAGATGGAGTCTCGCTCTGTCACCCAGGCTGGAGTGCAGTGGCACATCTCAGCTCACTGTAGCCTTTACTTCTTGGGTTCAAGCGATTCTCATGCCTCAGCCTCCTGAGTAACTGGGGTTACAGGCACCCACCACCACGCCTGACTAATTTTTATATTTTTAGTAGAGACAAGGTTTCACCATGGTGGCCAGGCTGCTCTCGAACTCCTGACCTCAAGTGATCCACCCACCTTGACTTCCCAAAGTGCCGGGATTACAGGCCTTGGAAGCTGTTGCCCTTACTGCACCAGGCCTTGGAAGCTGTTGCCCTTACTGCACCAGGCCTTGGAAACTGTTGCCCTTACCTTATAAATAGATGCTCTAGAGCTGGGCTGATAGAATTAAGCCCTGGGAGGATGAGAAAGGTCCTATCGGCTACTCTTTCTAGTCAGCTACAAACAGGCACCAGGAGTTGTCAGACCCAACAGTTACAAACTCTATAGTTCTATGTGAAATACTCTAACATCATTTTAGTTTATTAGTTCCATAACTGTTTATTATATACTAATATAAAATCAAACCATAAGTTACCTAAACAAAGTTAGTCTACAATGTATATAAAATATCATTTATCCTATTGCCTTTTATTGGTTATCTTTTTAAAGTGTAGTTATTTGAAAGGTAATATATTCACATGACTCAAGAAATATACATATGTCCCTTGTGAAGAATCTACTTCTATCCAGTTTTGCCTCCCAAATAATTTCACTTCTTCTCCTTCCCTCCAGAGTTGCTTTATGAACAAACAAGAACGATGAATAAAAATTCTTACAACTTTCTTTCTATTGATTGATTGATTGATAGTCTCACTCACTCTGTTGTCCAGGCTGGAGTACAGTGGCATGATCTGGGCTCACTGCAACCTCTGCCTCTTGGGCTCAAGTGATTCTCCTGCCTCAGTCTCCCAAGTAGCTGGGATTATAGGCGTGTGCCACCACACCCAGCTAATTTTTGTTTTGTTTTGTTTTGTTTTGAGATGGAATCTTGCTCTGTCTCCCAGGTTGGAATGCAGTGGTGAGATCTCAGCCCACTGCAACCTCCACTTTCCGGGTTCAAGCAGTTCTTTGCCTCAGCCTCCCAAGTAGCTGGGATTACAGGCACCCGCCACCATGTCAGGCTAATTTTTGTATTTTTAGTAGAGATGAAGTTTTACCATATTGGCCAGCCTGATCTTGAACTCCTGACCTCATGATCCACCAGCCTTGGCCTCCCAAAATGCTGGGATTAGAGGTGTGAGCTACCACACCTGACCTCATTTTGTATTTTTAGTAGAGACAGGGTTTCACCATTTTTGGCCAGGCTGGTCTTGAACTCCTGACCTTAGGTGATCCTTCCCACCCTTGGCCTCCCAAAGTACTGGGATTACAGGCGTGAGCCACTGAGCCCAACCCACGTTTCTTCCTAGGAAAAAAACAAGATATACATAGTTCTGAAATATTAAAAAATTTTTAGTATATTTTACTCTTGATTTTTAAATATCTACAACATTCATTAAAAAAACTTTTAAAGGAGCATGTGAATTGGTTCCACCCTTTTCCTGGTGATCAGACTGTCCCTTGGCCTCTCTGCTGTGGTTGAAGGTGAGGGACTTTCCTATTACCTCACTGCTTTGCTTCTGGGCTCAGGAGGCCCCTCCCAGGCCCCCAGCAAGGAATGCTCGAGACTCCATCTCTCAGGCCACATCTCTTTTCTGTCTTTCTTTTTTATTTTGAGATGGAATCTTGCTCTGTCACCCAGGCTGGGGTGTAGGGGCATGATCTCAGCTCACTGCAACCTCTGCCTCCCAGCCTCAAGCGAGTCTCCTGCCTCAGCCTCCTGAAGAGCTGGATTACAGATGTGTGCCACCACACCTGGCTAATTTTTGTATTTTTAGCGATGGGGTTTCGTCATGTTGGTCAGGCTGGTCTCGAACTCCTGGCCTCAGGTGATCCACTCACTTTAGCCTCTCAAAGTGCTGCGTTACAGGGGTGAGCCACAGCGCCTGGCCTGCCTTTTATTCTTTTAAGTGTTTTTAATCTTATTGTGCCAGGACTGCTATCTTAAGTCACCCCAGTGCCTTTCTGGAAGTCAGTGAGTTACAGGAAATGAAATACATGAAATGTGCATTTAGGGTGTTTGGAACGCTTAAGAACAAAGTTGTTTCTACCTTCAGCGGGAGACCAGACTGGTACTTGGGGTTGTGAATGTAGATCAAATTGTTAATGTGAGTTTGTGGCACATGCCATTCTGTTTCCCTTACTAGTATTGTCCATATCAGCAGTGGTGATGGCAAACTCTAGCACCAGCCAGTGAGGGGAAGCAGGTGGCTAGAGTGAGTGGTGGGGACCGGGATGACCTGGA